GTTAGGGGGTCGGAAAGGAGGCAATGCAAAAGAATGAGGCGTCCACAAGACAGGCCCAACAAGTCGGGCGGGGGGGTCAAAGCCTTGGGCCGAAGTTGGTCGTCGGATTCGCGCCCTTTCGGTGTGGGGAAAAGGGAGGGGGGGCGGGGGGTGGGGGGTGGGGGGACCCATTTAGCACAGATGTGTTTTTTTTTAATGAACGGTTGATTGCACCATTGTCATGCCCGCTTCTGCGCTTTTTGAGGCCGAGGCGCCTAGCCTTCCGGGCCATGATTTGCTCATGTTTAAATTTGTCTTGCTGGGATAGGATCGCTTGTCGCGTCCCCAAAGAGAGTATGCCACTGTTGTAATCAGAGCGGACGTAAAGGATCCACACGTCGAAAATCTTTCTGCATGAAGGCCTAAGCTACAACCTGGCCAGATTGTGGCGGCAGTGGCGCTGCCCTGAGTACAGCGTTGCATCCTAAATCAACGACATCGGGGCTTCTTTACCGGGTTGGCCTGGTTGCAGCACTGGCAGAGTATCGTTGGCCCGGCCGGCTCAGCGGAGCTTAAAGTTTAAAGCTTGCTCGTGGTTGCTTTGCTGCTGTGAAGGCGTTCATGCTGTTTTGAAGTTGGGGACTCCGGGATTTCCGGGTGAGTTGCTGGGTTCAGGCATCGTTTGAAGCGAGAGCGCCGCAAACACGACCGCCTGTTGGTTCCGGATGCTGTGGTTTAAGAGTGTAGGAAACTGCGAACTCATTTTTGCTAGAGACCTGCAAACCTCAACCCGGAAACACCATGTCTGATGTGTATTTCTGCTGGGGCTTTGCGTGATCAGCACCTTGGTATCAAAGTGCAGGATTCTTCCTCACCAACAAGTCAGCCCAGAGACACCACACCTACTCCACGAGCCTAAACCAAGTTCTAACCCTTGCCCGTCAACCCTACCTAAACGTCCCAAAGCCAACCCTAAACCCCCCTCTTGCATGTGTGCGCGTCCGCGGCGACAGCTGGCTTTTGAGCCACGAGAGCCATGAGGTCAGCATGAGTCTTGGATTCAGGGAGCCACCGACTCTGGAGTAGAAGCATCCCGACTAGAACTTGTAACATATATAGCTTTTGCATGGCGTTCCTGCCATTCGTGGGATATGATTTCGGCCTGCGTATTATGTCATCAGCCATACTGAACTTGTAGCAGGCATGTGCTGCAGCCCACTCTTGCATGTTGCTGAGCGCATCGAGCTCTGTCGCCATTCAATGTTTATGATCTCCGGTTCTGTAAGCAGACCAAGCTAGGAAAAGCTGTTTGGGGCTTGCGGAAGCATGACCGACCTACCCTGTGACGGAGTCGCCCGCTATGCTTATATTGGCTCCTGGGATGCACTTAGCATGTTGTCATTCGGGAAGGGGGTCGTGCTGACAAAGGTTGTGCTGACTCTCTCGGTGGCATGTGTCCGACACAAGCTATGCCGTATACTCGTTATCAGTTATCAGTGTATGCCACCACCACCGCCACCACCGCCGCCGCCACCACCACCACCACCACCACCACCACCACCTCCACCTCCACCTCCACCTCCACCTCCACCTCCACCTCCACCACAACCACAACCACAACCACAACAACAACCATAGCGGCGACAAAAACAGGGACCAGGACAAGCCTCGGGACGAGCAGGAGGACTTTCAGGGCAGCAGCAACGACAGCATCAACAACAGCAACGACAAAACAACGTGAAACTACCACTGCCACTGCCTTTGCCACTACTGCTACCACTGCGACAGCAAGAAGTACACCTGCCTTTATTCTCAGGTATAGGCTTCCGGTCCTGGGGCCTTCGGCCTCGGGCCTTAAATCGCATGGGGCTGCAAGCCACGGGCCGAGGTTCCAGCATCGACCCAAACTCCGTGTCCATGCACGCAGGACCGTGGTCATGTGTGGCTTCTAGAGCCGGCAAGCCCCTGCAACTTGAAAGCCACATCAATACCATACATGCTGCTGAGGTACGTCTTACATAATCGTCCCGCTCCTTCCATAGTACCTGGAGCCCGGGAAAGCAGTGCTGACTGGCACCTGCCAGGCCTTTTCATAGAGAATCTTTGGAAGTCGTGTGCGACGAATGCACAAACGATGTTCCCGAACCTCTGGCAGGAAGATTTTGGCGCGATGGTTTGGCAGCCCCATAGCGATCTCATGCTTCGCCAGAATTGCTAGTGTGGCTCTCATCAAGTCTGCTGACTCAAACGAGGCCCCATATTCAATCTGACGAGGCTTCCGGTATTAGTTCCCAGTCAGCCGATCTAAGACCTGAGCATAGCTTGCAAGCCATACATACTGGATTCTTGGTTTTAAGCGGGGGGGCACGGGCAACTTCAAGATATCCGCGACGGGTCCCCAAGCTCTGAAAATCTAACGCAGGAGATCCGTTGACCGTGCTGGAGAAAAGCCATGATGGAACCTGGATGCTCATTGCCCTTGAGAACGGCACCTGATGCAGACATATTACGGAATCCAAAAGCTCTTCAAGCTGCTTAGGACTCCAGGACCAGGTCCTGAGGTTTGGAAATAAAGGCTTAGTGAATCTTTAGATTTCTACTGCTGTTGATGGAGTCACAGGCTGTGCTTAGCAGAATGCCGCCTACCTGTGTGTGTGTGCATATCTATATGACTATGTATTTATGTATGTATTTGTGTTTGCATGTATGTCATGTGACGTGCTGTGATGTGATGTGACGTGATGTGAGTCTGTCTATCTGTCTGTCCGTCCGTCCGTCCGTAGGTATGTATGTATGTATGTATCTGCGTGCGTGTAACTATATCTATATGTGTGCTCATGTGTAGTCTAATCCACCGTAGAGGCCGAGGAGGCCCGGTCGCACCGAATGTTATGCGCCCCCCGCCTTTTCCACGGCTTACCCTAACCCCCCAGGTACCT